TAATGCGCGGCCGCACACCGCCCATGTTGTTTTGCAGTTCTTGGCCAAGCATTCAACCATACAGATCCCTCATCCACCCTATTCCCCCGACTTAGCCCCCAATGACTTTTTCCTCTATCCTAAATTGAAAATGAACTTGAAAGGACAGAAATTTGACAACGTTGATATGATACAAGCTGAATCGAAGGCAACCTTGAGGAACCTCTCAAAAAGTGATTTTATCTCCTGCTTCGACAATTGGAAAAAAGATGGAACGGGTGTATTGAGGCAGGAGGGGCATATTTTGAAAAATATTAAATTAGTTTTTTTATTTGTTTTATTTTTTCAACGATACAGAGCAGTCCTGGAAATTAATGAACGCACCTTGTACATGAGGTACAACTTCCTTAAGTTTTGTCAATGAGTGTATCTTTCAGAGTTATTGTCCCGATATACATGAGGTACAACTTCCTTAAGTTTTGTCAATGAGTGAATCTTTCAGAGTTATTGTCCCAATATACATGAGGTACAACTTCCTTAAGTTTTGTCAATGAGTGAATCTTTCAGAGTTATTGTCCCAATATACATGAGGTACAACTTCCTTAAGTTTTGTCAATGAGTGTATCTTTCAGAGTTATTGTCCCAATATACATGAGGTACAACTTCCTTAAGTTTTGTCAATGAGTGTATCTTTCAGAGTTATTGTCCCAATATACATGAGGTACAACTTCCTTAAGTTTTGTCCATGAGTGTATCTTTCAGAGTTATTGTCCCAATATACATGAGGTACAACTTCCTTAAGTTTTCTCAATGAGTGAATCTTTCAGAGTTATTGTCCCAATATACATGACGTACAACTTCCTTAATTTTTGTCAATTAGTGAATCTTTCAGAGTTATTGTCCCAATATACATGAGGTACAACTTCCTTAAGTTTTGTCAATGAGTGAATCTTTCAGAGTTATTGTCCCAATATACATGACGTACAACTTCCTTAAGTTTTGTCCATGAGTGTAAATATTGGTTAAGAATTTGTCCATTGATGAGCAAGATTTACTTGTGTGAAATATCAAAACAGAGTGAGGTGATCAAATAAACTTACATTTCATTAATTGTCTATGTTGACTTTGCTTAGAATATTTAATGAAACTGATTCCAATAATTAAACAATATATTTATTGATTTACAAGAGAGAGAACAAAATATAAAAAGGAAACTAATATTGAACAAAGGAACTTTTTTCTGTTTTGGTTAGCGCCAATTTACCTGTGAGCTTACACAACTCTGTGGAACAATTAATTAATATACACCTATCCCTCGATTTACACGTTTTTCTCAGGAACATATCTACCGTGTAAATTGGGGGATAGGTGTATATACAACACCTCTCTCTCATCTGTGGATATCCTGCCCCCCTCCCTGATCCTCCTCTACATTCTGGCTCTCCTGGCCTCACCTGGCGATGATCCCCTGGCCACCCAGGCCCCTCCAACTGTGTTTTACCTATATTCCGCTTTATGTGTCCATCGGGGCTCAAAAATCATTCATTTTGGTTAGCAGCCCGTAAAACAAAGATATTTTCTCTCATCTGTGGATGGCCTCCACCACCATCTATGTCTTGGTGGATAGTTGGAACTGAGAGCTGTTTGTATCCAGCTACTTCTATATTCCTGCTCTACACATATCGTTCATTCTTTTATGAAAATCTTTGCTTGAGAGTAAACCTTGATATGGTCTTAATATCTATTAAGATAAAGGTCGCCTCTCTCATCAAAATAGAAATCAAAACTAGACGCCATCTATTGACCTTCGCCGCAAACTAGTGTCCTCGAGTCGGTGACAAAGCTACCAGCTTTGGCAAACTGAGAAGCGTCCACTTGGAGACAATGGTTTCGGGCTAATGGTCCTCGATAGTCTAGGGCGGACTTTGGTTGTTGTTGTTGTCGTGTCCAATGAAGAGCCTCAGATGTCTCCATACATCTCTATCACAGCAATGACCACTATCTTGGGTGTGTAAAGCAGCTGCTCTGGGTGTATGTCAATTTTCTGCAAGGCTGCGGCCATTGCTGGGCATGAGAATATGTGAGTAGGTGTTAGTTCCATACCAGGACAGTTGTTACATGTCCTCCACGGACTTTGGTGTTAATAGTATATTAGTGCGCTCACGGGAAATTAAATTTGTACATCAAGAATTTGTACACAACAGATTGAAATGATTTTTTTTTTTTGCGTTCACTCTCATACATTCGAAGCAAACACATCATCAAAGAAAGATCCACGATAAGTACAGATTGATCCTTTAAAATATAACTAAATAGGTGATCCCCAGTTACACTATAAACTGCTTTAACCATCCTTCCACCAATGATAATCATTTTGACCTGTTACTATCCACATTCCAAAATCCAACTATCTACACTCATGGACAAAACTTAAGGAAGTTGTATCTTCCAGCATGTATATCGCGACAATAACTCTGAAAGATATAACAGTAACCTTTATTGAAGACACACGAGATAACCAAGTGTGAACAAAATTGCCTCTGTCTCCTTCAAAAAAATATACGACCAGCAATATCAAAAACTTTCCCTTATTTAGTCCATGAGTATATGTAAATACACCTATCCCCCGATTTACACGGTAGATACGTTCCTGAGAAAAACGTGTAAATCGAAAATTACAAAATTTTAAAAATTAGAAATACAGACACAGTGTGCGTGTTCAGCAAGTCAGCACATAAGCTCGGGATTCCTCGTGAGATGTGTACACAGCGCATGTGTTCAATCACAGTAGCATTTAGTATAGTGCGATAAAAAAAAACTTATTTGGAAAACCGTGTAAAAGCGAAAACGTGTAAAACAAGTACCATGTAAATCGGGGGATAGGTGTATGTAATATCCTTAAAATTTCCTTACCGAGATATGAAGTGATAAATTGTTGGTATGTAGAGTAAAAACATTGAGAACATTAAAGAGACAATTCTGATATCCTATGGTCAGATTATCAAAGTGAATGTCTGGGCTTTGTTCAAGGAATGGTTGAAAAAAGAGTGGCCACAGGAGATGGACTGACCAATTCGATGTGTAAGAAACATTGGTCCGGAGATAATCCATTAATGAGAACTTCCAGTACTGTGCCAATTAGTAAACAACATTGACCGATCATTTTTTCCTCCTCGTACAGGCAATGATAATCATGGTGGCTAGTTATCAACTACTTTTACTGTAAATGCCACCACATGTATTCACATGTAGAAACAGTTTGTATTTACAAATATGTCAGAGTCATATTTAATTATTTGTACTTACTTGTGGAGCTGGACTTTGCAAGAATTGAAGGCTATTAGGGCAATATTTTATTCAGAAAAAAAGAACCCAACGCGGTATTCAATCCTGGATTGTGGCTATCAGAACGTTTATGTATTACTTCTCCACCAATCCCTGAGTATACTCTTAATGATTTATAAAGTAAAAGAATTATGATAGAGTACCATAGTCTGGAAGAATCGAAGAACATTGGAACAATATTTTATTCAGAAAAAAAGAACCCAACGCGGTATTCAATCCTGAATTGTGGCTGTCAGAACGTTTATGTATTACTCCTCCACCAACCCCGAGTATACTCTTAATGAATTATAGAATTATAATAGAGTACCGTAGTCTGGAAGAATCGAAGAACATTGGAGCAATATTTTATTCAGAAAAAAGAACCCAACGCGGTATTCAATCCTAGATTGTTGCTATCTGACAATTTATATCGTTCCAACCCCCGAGTATACTCTTAATGATTTATAAAGTAAAAGAATTATGATAGAGTACCTTAGTCTGGAAGAATCGAAGAACATTGGAACAATATTTTATTCAGAAAAAAAGAACCCAACGCGGTATTCAATCCTAGATTGTTGCTATCTGACAATTTATATCGTTCCAACCCCCGAGTATACTCTTAATGAATTAGAAAGTAAAAGAGTAAAGTACTATAGTCTGGAAGAATCGAAGAACATTGGAGCAATATTTTATTCAGAAAAAAAAGAACCCAACGCGTTATTCAATCCTAGATTGTGGCTATCAGACAATTTATATCGTTCCAACCCCCGAGTATACTCTTAATGAATTATAAAGTAAAAGAGTAAAGTACTATAGTCTGGAAGAATCGAAGAACATTGGAGCAATATTTTATTCAGGAAAAAAAAAGTGTCAAAAGCGGAATTCGATTCCATGTTACTTTCTTAAATCGAGGGTTTTATACCACATCTCTACCAACCCCCACGTTGATAATAATGTCTGGCTAGAATACTATGATGTCAGTAATGTTATTCACCCAATTTAACCGGTACTTTTAGCTCAGATTCAGTCACACTATCCAATAACTAAACATAATAGCAACTATTTCTAACGCCTATGTTTCTTTTTTATATAAATCTTACATATATCTACCAAAAAGACTCATTAAAACTGCCCTGAGAATGTTGAACTACTTCGACTTGACATAACTGAAGATAGCCGGTGTATTACTGACGGTGTCACCAAGGATTCCTGTTGACATTTCCGCGACAGTAAGATGGACGTGTGCGCCATCGGCTGTAATCGGCCTTTATGAATATCCAACCGAGCAGACGACGGTGCAAGTCATGTTCACAGGTACGTAGCTCCCAGCTGGCATACTTCAGTGTCGCTGTATGACCGGTAGGTAGGTGACTTCGAGGGACATCCACATATCAGGATAGTTTGTTAAAAACCTAACACAGAATGCTCAAATGTGAGACGTTGAGGCTAATGTCTGGCTGGAATACTACGATGTCAGAAATGTTTGTCACCCAATTTCACCGATAGTTAGCTCATTTGTGGATTAAGTCACAATAACTAAACATAAGTATGTAAACGACATTTGAAATTATCCCGTATGTGTTTCTTTTAAACGAAAAATCGAAATTTAGAAGGAGAAATAACGATTATTTCTAACCCTAGGGATGAAGTATGAAAAGATGAATTGTGAAGAGTAATAATAAACGGAAAAATAAAAGTATCCATGGATGGGAATCGAACCCACAGTGTTCCGCTTACCGGGCAGATGCTATGTCCACTTAGGTATGCGGGATAATTTCAAATGTCGTTCTATAATTATAAGCTTATTAATTAATTTATTAATATTATAATCCCTTTGGTGAAATTATAAATAAAAGATAATTAGCCGAGGGAAGAGTTTCTTCCTTTAGCGAATTGTCTTTTATTTTATTAATTAATGTTTAAAGTATTTGCGCGTACATATTTGCATCCAATTTGCATATAAAAATGATATCTAGATGTCTCTCTTGAGGAACATATTGCTCTCGAAAGCTTCACAAAAATGTTCCAAATTATGTTTTCTCTTCTTTTTAAAGAAGGTAACATTTGTTTTTTTATCGCGAAATGTTTCAATGTCCTTATTTATTCCGATCAACCAAACAAAACTTTAATTGTGCGCTGCGATGTTTCAAACAGAAACACATTTGCTTTCGGAAATTAGAAATATTGGTTCACCAAATCTAATTTCCTTGTGGACCAAAACAAAATTACGTTTAGTGTCAATATCCTACATGGCGTTCAGTCTGTACTTTCAAAACTTTGTTAATTTGCATATTGGCTTAGGGAAAATAGATTGTTTATTTGTAATATACAAAAACAACAATAAAATCCTTTATTAGGGACACACTCGTCCCATACAGAATTCTCCTAGTTGGGTAAACAGAAGTAAACATAACAGTTACCTACATAAAGTGGAGAATTATATCCATCTTTCATCAAGTAAGGTAGCTCTTGTTTACTTATATGTTATGTAATTATAGCCAAATACTTCTCTTTCCTTCTTCTTCAAATATGCTATAGCAATGTTTTAAAGCGCCGAACATATAGTTTTAAATTACATAAGTGTGTGTGAGAGGTCGACCATATATTTACATATTTCCCAGAATAGCCTATATGTAATTGTGTTTGAGGCAGTTTCTAAATAGGGGAGTACTTCCCCCGACACCATACTTTTTTTGCTTATCCCTAGTAGACGTGGTACAGGCTATGGTAATCATGGTGGGTAGAGGTAGGCGACTGCTTTTACTGTAAGTGCACCACATGTATACACATGTGAAAAGCAGTTCGACTTTGCACTTACAAATGTGCCGGAGCCCCGTTTGGTTACTTGCACTCACTGGTGGAGTTGGACTTTTGCAAGAATGGCCTCTATGTAATTGTGTTTGAAGCAGTTTCTAAATATGGGAGTACTTCTCCCGACACTATACTGAAGCAACAAATACTAGACAGATTGGGTGATGTGAGTTTAAAACTCGACCTTCACACAATATGGCTTCCTCACGGAGATACAATTGCCTGAGTTTGCAGGCGACAAGGTCATCTGATGCAAACACCCGCAATGTTTGTTCCATGGGAACTTCAGGTAGATTGGCTGGGGATTGTTGGTTCTGATTGGTGGGATCTTCTCGTGTTGCTGATGGTAAACATCTCGTGGTTATGTCACGGTAGACCAAGATCTCTGCGTTATCATCCTAACGGCAGTGGATCTACATTCACCGTGAGATGGCGGTGTTGGTTATGATACCAACCCTCCCAGCAGTTTAACGAGTTTAATCTAACATACCGCTGTAATATTATATTTGGCATATTTGCATATTGAAACATATTAAACTGTGGAAACTGCTAGGAGGGTTCACCATTAATAAGCAAGGCTCTCCAATTATTATATTGTAGCGTAGAAATCAAGTCTTTGTATATTTGAAGGTGTGAAAGTATTTATTGATGACGTCACGGCGATTAGTCGACAATTATTAACAAATCAACTCAACTCTATGCGCCGTGGACAGGATTCTTTGCTGCACTCCCCTCGCCTTGTTGCCAACTTTGCAAAACTCCTTATCCAACTCTCTGAATCATCCTCTAACAGCTTGGAGTAAAATTACATAACTTTCAAATGTTTTACCGCGTAAAAAAATATCTTCAATCTTCCAAACAAGCAGAAGTCTGAGGATGTCAGATCAGAGCTGTACACAGGATGTGGCATCAAAGTCCACCCATACCTTGCAATATTCGCCAAAGTCAGGTATGAGGTCTCGCATTATCCTGATGAAATTTGATTCGGATTTTTTAAAGTTGGCTCTTTTTTTTTAATTTCTCTTTTCAACTTTTATAATGATTTACAATACCTTTTCATGTGTTGATAGAAGAATTTATTTGAAGAGTGTCCATCAATATCAGCCATTCTTGGTCCCAAAAGACAGAGATCATAATTTTGTCCTTGGAAAGTGAAAGCCTTGATTTTTTTTATTTACTGTCGATTTTTTATGGGTCCACTGCATTTATTGGAGCTTTGAAGAAGGATCATAATGATAAATCCAAGTTTTTGTTTTTCTTGCTTCCCTCTTTCTCTTTCTTGTTTTTTTTTCTTCTGTCTATATCGTTATTTCCTTTGTCTCACTGCTTTGTTCTTATGCATACCTCTGGTGAATCCTGTATAGGGTCAGTGACCCTAAATAAAGGCTTTTTGTTGTTGTTGATAAATCCAAGTCTCATCACATCACACCTTCAGACATCTGAGAAAGTTCTCCAGAAAAAGTCTCCATGAGATCTCATGTTAGAAGTTTTAGTATCCATTTTGAGCATAATTTTCGATATCTAAGATGATTAATAAGTTTAAGAACACTTCCACAGCGAAAGTTTTTCCATTATATGATAAGTCGTCATTGTATCCAGTTATTCTTAATCAATTCCTCCGTTAGAGCCAAATTTCGGTCCGTCACTACAGAAGTACCTGGCCTTTCTTTAACACTAATATCAAAATTACTAGTCGGGAAGCACTGAATCCATCTTTGTATTGTGATTCTATCCATGGCTCTATACACAGATTTCCAGTAAATTACAGCGGCTGTCTCCGGACTTAAACAGCAACTCCATCACCGACCACCGTTGTGTTTACTTCAGGCTACAAATCTGAACAAATACAGAAGTTATTTCAATTCTGTTTGAAGATATGAGAGAGATATATATTTATAACCCAGGTTCTTGGAGAGCAGAGCGCCAACTGCCCGGATGGTATGTAAATAGGAATGTTTATATACACACACATAGATCAGCGGTCTTATACAGATTCACCACAGGAAGAAATAATAGATGGAGCTCCTATGGAATGTTTATATAAACAAAAAACATTATTTTTTAATGATGATAATAAATCATTTACATATTTTCAATAGGTCATTGTGCATTTCTTATTGACCGGCCCTTTGTATATTAGTTTAAAAATTAGCACTCTCTCTCTCTCATTTATTTCTTTTACAACTAAAACAAACTCTCTACTGTCCTTACTGCGATGAAAACTAATGAAAGGGCTTGGCTCATCAGTAGTGAATCCTCCAAACGATTTCGCAAATTTTATCCACCAGACCACAGATAGCTTTTTAGAGCTTTAATACTGTATTAGACGAATCTGCTTATACAAGCTACTTGTATATGCTACACTGAAGAGTGAAATCTTTGTTATGGTGTTTAATCAAACTATTACATAAGCTTTTAGGACAGTATATTTACATCGAGCAATGCTCTTCCGCAAACAATAAGCAAATATACTTTTTACTCACAAATATTTACGCATACAGATCTGTATATACATTCAAGGAGGTTTCCCAACCCCGATAGAGTTCTCCAAATGATCAAGGGATCTTCATTTTCTCCTCACTTCAAGGTTCATGAAGAACTTGTTAAATAGATGCCTTTGTTGACGGTGAAAATGGAGTTGGCGTCGTCATAAGTTCAAGGCCATAAATTAATTACAAGGCAACAACACGTCATATATATATATAAGAAAGGAAACTATTTATTATGCGCGCGCACGTACTTTTACAAATAAAACAAATTTCTACTGTCCTTACTGCGATGGAAAATAGTCTTAGATTATCAATGGTGGAAGTTTGGCCTTAAATACCCATTTCTTGGTTTTTCAAGAAACCTCTAGGACCAAA